AATATCTACTGACAAGAAAATTCAGAAATTGCTTGTAGAATAAAAGAACTCAACTAAAAAGCAAATTATGATAAAAGTCGTAAAATGTCAATTTGAATAAAAGAAACTTTATTGGACAGCAAATTTAGAATTTATTGGCAAAATATCATACTAGAGAAAAGAACTTCAATGATCAGCAAATTCTGTAAAGAATTATTTCAATGCCATATTAGAGAGCAAGAAAAACTCTGCCAAAGAGCAAAATTAGAACCTCGAACTTAAATAACATATCAGAGCAAAAAACTCTACTGAAGTACAAATATAGAAAAAAGTGATAAATGCCTAATGATGACATATTTGGTGTCGTTATGAAAATAATTTTAATGTTCGACGATCTTGAAAGATGCTTCCTTTTCATATTTTCAAGAGTTCTTTATAAAGACTACACTAAATATTTAATTTATGCTTTTACACAAAAACAAAAATAATCGTATAAATAAAAATATTAATAGATATAAGTAACAATAAAAATACATCAAAATTAGATGTAAAAAAGTCTCTTGAAGCAATTCGTTCAGTTGGAAGCTGCAGAAGTAGTATAGGAGTATCACTTCAAAGAAAGTTTGTGTTACAAAAATACTTAAGATTATCCTTACATATGTAACTTATTTAAATATTTCGAGAAAATAAAATATTTATGAGAGCTTTCGCGTTTCTATAAATATCGCTATATAATATAATAAATTAAATTAATGAAATTTAAAAAATGAAGAAAAATTGTTTTACAAAAGAAGTTCATTTAGCTAAGAAGCCACAGTTTCAGTAAAGAAGTATCATTTCAATTATTTCTTTAGGTTACCTTCTCAGATTAATATTAATTTATATTAATATTTCGTATCATTGACATTAAATATTTGTAAGACAAAATATGGAATTCGGAGCTTTCGACAAGCTCATTCAGTAAAGCAGTCGTCTAGCAAAGAAGCTAGAATTTCAATACAAAAGTGTCTTTTCAATTATTTTTTTAGGTTACCAAAATACATAAAATTATCCATATTCATACTAATTTATTAAAATATTTCGTATCATTGACATAAAATATTTGTAAGACAAAATATGGTATTCGGAGCTCTTGAAAAGCTCATTCAGTAGTATAGCAGTCGTTTAGCAAAGAAGCTGGAGATTCAGTGAAGAAGTGTCATTTCAGTTATTTTTTAGGTTACTAATATACATAAAATTGTCCATATTCATACTAATTTATATAAATATTTCGTATTATTGACATAAAATTTTTGTGACATAAAATATGGTATTCGGAGCTCTTGAAAAGCTCAGTCAGTAAAGCAGTCGTTTAGCAAAGAAACTAGAGATTCAATGAAAAAGTGTTATTTCAATTATTTTTTTAAGTTACTAATATACATAATATTACCCATATTCATAACTAATTTATATAAATATTTCTTATCATTGACATAAAATATTTGTAAGACAAAATATGAAATATCGAAAAGCTCATTCAGTAAAGCAATTCATTCAGTCAAGAAGCTGCAGGAATAGTATAAGAGTATCATTTCATTGGCGTTTTTATGTTACAAAAATAAATAAGATTATCTTTACTTATATAACTTACTTTAATATTTCGTGAAAAAAAATATAGCTTATGCGCTCTTATGAATCATTCTATATAGAATAATGAATTAAATGAATTACTTTTAAAAAATGAAGAAAAATTGTTTTACTAAAGAAGTTCATTCAGATAAGAAGCCACAGATTCATTAAGGAAGTATAATTTCAAACATTTTTGTTGTTGCAATAATAGATAAGATTATGCCCTTATACTGATTTATTTAAATATTTCCTATCACGTACTTAAAATATTTATAGAACAATAAACTAAATGAATAACATTTAAAAAATGAAGGAAAATTGTTTCTTTAAAAAATTTCATTCAGATAAGAAGCCACAGATTCAATAAAGAAGTATAATTTCAATTATTTTTTTTAGATTACTAATATAGCTATTATTACCCATATTCATACTAATTTATTCAAATATTTCATATCATTGACATAAAAAATTTGTATGACAAAACGTTGGTATTCGGAGCTCTTCAAAAGCTCATTCAAGAAAGCAGTTCGTTCAGCAAAGAAGCCAGAGATTCAGTGAAAAAGTATCATTTCAATTATTTTTTTAGGTTACTAATATGCATAAAAAATCCATATTCATACTAATTTATTAATACATTGACATAAAATATTTGTAAGACAAAATACGGTATTCGGAGCTCTTGAAAAGCTCATTTAGTAGTAAAGCAGTCATTTAGCAAAGAAGCTAGAGATTCAGTGAAAAAGTGTCATTTCAATTATTTTTTTAGATTACTAAAATACATAAGATTACCCATATTCATACTAATTTATTCAAATATTTCATAACATTGACATAAAATATTTGTAAGATAAAATATGGTATTCGGAGCTCTTGAAAAGCTCAGTCTGTAAAGCGGTCGTTTAGCAAAGAAGCCAGTGAAAAAATGTCATTATAATAATATTTTTATGTTACCAAAATACGTAGGTAATTCATACCGATTAAATACGAGTATTCATAGCCATATACTAAATTATTTAAATATTTTGTACCATGGACATAAAATATTTATAAAACAATATACGGTCTTCGGCGCTCTTGCTTACAATACTTCAAAGCCGCATGCTGAAACAATATCATTATTTCGCCCGGGTTACGACCGGTGGTCATGTCGTTGACGTTTCTCTGTAAATAACTCGATCTAACGACTGACAGGGACAATATAATATGTGAGAAATGCACAATTACCACCGCGGATGTAATATGTATCCGATATATAGAAATATATGAAATGATGCCTTGCAAATGAATATTCAATGTTTACGAAAGGCACGTTTGTTCATAGGTATACGACGAGATCGAGGAAACTTGTTCGTATGCAATCAAAATTGTAAGGGATGGACTGGAATCCATCGTAAATATGATGATGAAAGATGTTTCATCATGTTTAAGGAATATTACAATGCACTTTCTATTACAATCCAATTTATATAAAAATCCAATTTCTATTTATTCCTTGCTATACATAGTATTAGTTTTGTTTGCTTATCTTCTAAACGAGATCCTTTTCTTGAAAGATGTTCTGTAGTTGGAACGTGCATAATTCCAAAAAATTGGCAATATTTTTTTTAAACTTTTGATTTTTATTACCAGGGGATTCCTTGTTCGTAACTCAATACAACGACATATATTTATAATTTTTATGTTTTTTGGAGGTGTCTTATTATCTGTGATCTTTAAATTTCTGATAGAAAAGCCTACTTTCATCTTCAAAACATTTTATTCATAACAATTTTATTTAATTAATTTATCCAACATTTCGCGGTTATTAAATATCCCCTGTTCCAGGAACTATTGGTACAAATAAAAACATGATTTGATTTAATATTTATATACTTGATATAAATATATTATAAAATTGAAAGATATTATTATAAAATTGAAGGAACTGACTTTGAAAGATATTCACCTTTATGACTAAACTATTGCCTTGGATTGCTGGAATAGAAGTTCATAACAATATTGGCAAGTACGCAATGCTATTTATATCAGAAGCTTATGTGAAGAATAAATGTTGACATACATAAATCAATATGGAAAATCATATAAAAACAGCAAAAAATTCAGGGGAACCGAAAATAAAGACTGAAATAAATATAAACTTGTAACATATTTACAAAACCACTACCATCAAAATATATAATTAATTTCTGCTGCCACTTCAAGAAAATTTAGAGTAGAAAAATTCAGTAGTATCATAATATTAAACGAGGTAGTCAATCGATACAGAAAAACATATTAAAAAGATGAAAAAAAAATAAAAAAAACGAAAATAAATTAATTGTAAATATTATATTCACAATAAGTTAAAATTCTCTAGCATCAAATTATAACTATTTTCCGCGACCACTTCAATAAAATTTAGAGAAAAAAAATCAGTAGTATCATAATTATTGAACGAGGTAGTATTCAGGTTTTAATATTTAATTTAATAGTTACACAGCATGAAATTCATATTTGTATTTTAATATTTCGGAAATGAACTGTTTAATGCATTATTAATAATACACCAAAGTATACCATTGTGTATTTAAAAAAAAAAATAGTAATAGTATAGGATATATTATCAAAACGCTATAGAATATTAAATAGAGAGTATAAATAAATAATCTATTTGGATTAATTTTTATGTAGATACTATCATCCCTTGAAAAATGAAATTGTCTGACAAAACTTATTAATTAATAAATTATTAATAAATTTTCATACAATAATCCGAACCATCACTGGCAGTTCGGTTCTATCTGGGTTAATATTCATAATAACGCATCTCGGTGTTCGGTATCCGCAGATTATTTCACACAACAAACCATTTATATACTGCCAGTAATGTGGTAATACATAAATATCAAATTAAAAACAAAAGAAAAATATATGTGCTATAAGAATAAACATGCAGCAACTTATAAATAAACATGCAACCAAACTTGAAAAGGCGAATGTGCTCATAAAAATAAAATATTATGTGTGCTCTCTTAAAAACTAATTTGTTTTTCGTTCATGTTAAATATATATATACAGAACTGATATTGCTCTAAATAATACGTGATACGTGAATACAGTACGTGCAAATGTTTATTTGCCACCCTCAACCAAAAATTATTCAAACCAAATTTAATAATACAAAAAGCTTATAATAAATTGCAAACAAAAACACGAAAACTACAAATCATATATAACTACAAACACTGTATTTACCTGCGCTTATTAACCCTTCTTGAAATATACAAATTTATTATTAACCTGAAATTTTCAACCATAATTACGGAATGTAATTATGAACAAGAGTGAAAACATTGAGTTTATTTGTTATGTTTATTAATTCATAAATATACAATCATCTAGAAAACTGAAATATAATACACATGTGAGGAGTAAACAATTTTAGTTTCTAAGAGTTATAATAAATAAAACATTTGCTATCGTCATGTGCCTAACTTGCTATAAATATAATAAACTTTAAAATAGATTCAAAATGCACTAGAAAATACAACGTGATATGTCCTTACGAGAAGTTCATCACAAATATCACGAAAACAATTCACCACAGTTCGCTTCATGAAAATTTCTAGATGATTTATTTCGAGTGAAGCACGAGAACGAAAAACAAATGTTACTAAGAAAACACACAATTATTTCTTTTCGGTATAATTAATAACTTCTCGTTAATCTATCAAAGTGACGGTCCCATTCATATATACATTTAGTGAATTTATGTTTCCCAAATCTCACAATATCAAATAATCAGAGTGATTCATTCAATAAAATTTAATTGTTTAAAATGTTCTGTAAGAAAAGGCATTAAATATTCGTATATCGCAAAGTCTTTAATTTCACATTGTTTGTTCACTAATAATTGTTTAAGTCTTTGTAAAGCTCCACTACGCATCCACAGTATAATGGATGGTATAAATATATAGCTTTTCTCGTTCAGTCAAATGAGCACCACGGAAACCGCCTGCAATTTAAAACAGTTTCTGTGTGACATAGACGATTTTTGTCAGTTCTTTGTTAGGCTTGTCGCGCCCATTGAATTGTCATTCGCCAATTCAAGAAGGTAGCGTTAGGAAAGACATGCGCGGAAGCACTCACCACTGTTGTTGTTTGCCGCCGCTGCACTCGCAGATTTGTTCACGTTGCTGGAACTGGATGAGAACTTTTTCCAACCCTTTTTCCAGAAGCCCTTCACCGAAGTGGACGTCGTCGTTGGCGCCGTCGGGCTATTCAGGGTAGTCGTAATAGCCCCGTGTCCGGCAAGATCTTGGGGATCTAGCTGCTGATGTAAATGATGCATTGGGGGTTCGGATTTATGAGTGCGATACCTCAGACTACCCACGTAACTGGCACCGCTACTGCTGCCGCTGAATCCACTATCAGGATCCGCGGGAGCTGGTGACAACAGTTCGTCCGTGGGACCGACAGGCAATTCGGGCTCTAATCCCGTCGTCTGGTCTTCATCAGGCGAATCGGCCGGAGGCATGAGCATAGCCTCTACGCTCAAATTGAGTTCACCTAAAACGCGCCGATGCCTATGTTGCACGCGTCGCAATTCTTCCTCCACAACGCTCTGCCCTAGCGATATCGCAGAGCGCTGAAGACCAGCTGAGATCTCTTCGTATATATTTTCTTGTGTACCATAGCGCGTTATGTAGTCGTGCCTGGAAAGAAACGAAATAACGAATTGAATTAGCGTTATATGCCATTAACCATTAAGCATACTAGAACAAGAAGATTATATTATTTTAAGATTCTGTTTCTACAAACCTGCTCCGTAACATAATTGGTTCTCGCGCTGATGACGTCGAAGGCCTAGGATTGGTAATGCTGTTACTATGTACATGACACCTCGTAGTCTGACTACTACTGCTTCCACTGCCTCCACTACTGAGACTATGTCTAGTGGCAGGTCCTGGTTCGTAATAAGCATACGAATAATCACTTGGTTCAAATCGTTCCATTGTTGCGGCAATATTGTCACGCCGCCAATGAACTGCTTGGTGGTGCTGTCGGCCATATGAACCTCTCGAGCCATGCTGCTGAGTGTAGTAATGGGGATAGATTTGGATACGGTCGTCCTCTTCGTCCTGAAGATAGGAGTCCTGGGTAAAGGATATTTGGTAAAAATTAGAATTAAGTATAAATAATATATTACAAATACAATTTGAACTAAATAAAAATCATGATTAGAACTGTATTGGGTTATGCAAACTCACGTCTTCTACTGGCGGATAAGTTGGTGGCGGCGGAAAACGTAAAGAAGGTCTTGGAGGTGGATGAGCAGGTCGTTTGCCAGCGCTGATATGCGATGACGTTGCTATCGTCGCAGCAGAAATTGCAACTTGTTTCTGCGCTTCTCGGCGGCGCGACGTCAAGGACTCCATCGCGCATTGTCAAACCTGAAAAAATAACCGAATAAATTAGATAGAACATATAAAAAAGTGAATGGAATAAGGAAATACACAAATAGTAGTGATGGAAAATAAAACAAACATTCTCCATGAAGTGGAGGATGGGGGCCATCCACTTAACACGTGAGGTCTAAAAGGGGAAAGGAATTTGGCAAAAAATGACGAAATATCACGTGGAAAAAGGAGGCTCTAGTAAGATATCACGGTATTTATTTTTGACCTGAATTAAGAAAATTAAACTTAAAAAAATGTCCAAAAATTTCACGATTTTTTCTAGGTGATACCTGATACTGGTGGAAGAGAGAGAGATCTACAACAAGGGCTGAGGAAGGAGTCCAAAAATTCGAGGTGAAAATTTAGGGCGACTACTTATAATCAACCCAGCTCGTGAAATTAGTGCCAAAACCCTGCATATAATTTGACTTCACTAAACCGTGGACGATTCGCCGTGAGTTACAATCTAATACCTTTAACTACTTCCTAATATGATTGATGAAATTGTTCAATTTATTGAAACTAATCAACGTGTCAGTTACCCAATTTGAAGCTTTCCTGCTGCAATTAGTGTGCACGTAACTAACAAATTGAATACGCCCCCATCTGATAAAGACCCCCAGGCACATTGGAAAGGGAACCGCCACGGTGCCAGAAGAAACTTAAAACGATAATTATTTCCATATACAATTTGCACGTCTTTCGTGCATGCGGTTCGCGTAATTACCGCGTCGCAGCAAGAAAAGCGGCGGAAAACACGCGTCGTAGGGTTGGAAAATCAGATAGATTTAATTTCAAAAACTTAATAATAGATTCTATAAAACAAAAAGCTTTTAGACATGTTTTGAGACAAAATTATAAAATTTGTTTTATAAAAACTATTTTATAATGACCATCATAATAGTAGACCTCAATATATTTACATTTCAAATTATATAACTTTATAACTATATATGAAATATACCTATCATATCTACATGAAAGCTCTTGGTAGGGCGTACAAATTATTAAATTATTTTAAGATTTTGCATAGTACTTATTGTACTATAAAAAATATTCTTGTATTTATTTATAATACATTTATTAATTTTTTTAGTACATTTTGTTTAGTAAAATCAATATTAGATGTTTATATCGCGAAGATTATATTAGACAACAAAGTTTGAACTCTATTTTTGACCAGTCACTCTGAATTTTATAATTAATCTTTAATAAGCAAACAAGTGGTGCTAAGCATCGTGCTTTAAGGCAAATTGCTGAACTTACCGTACCAAAATTTAAATTTTTTAAAAAGCTTAATTTTTTTTTAAAACTCTACTTTCGTTTTTTTACTTTTTAAAGTTTTATATTTTTATATTTACAAGATTTTTGAAATTCTTTTGCGGCTGGACCTTTTCCAAAAACTAATCAGCACGTTTCCTAGTCAGTACAAATCGAATGTTGAATTGAATCATTCTATCTATACGATTGATCCGTTATTACAAAATCTGAATTCCCATTTTCTGCATTTTTTGTTTCGTATCTCCAAAACGACTGAACCTGCCTTTGACAAAATCTAATCAAAATATCTCGCTGTCAACGCGAGTTGAATATTTTTTGAATCAATCTAATCGGGTGCCCCGTTTTTGCAAAAACCCAATTTTGCAAGATACGGGGGAAAAACGCCCGTATCTCCAAAACAGCTGGTCTTGTCATTGTCAAAAACTAGTTAGCACATATCCCCATGAATAGAAATCGAATGTTTTTTCAAAAATTCGAGCTCACAAAAACGGCGACGAACAATTATATCTATACATACACACATACTACACACGCACATAAATCTATTTTTTCTAATTGTAAGATATACCAAAATGTTCAGAAACCTTTGAATCGTGATGATATGCAAATAAAAATTCAGAGTTTTGGACAATTACTATAACTTACCCTAAAAAAAATAAAAAAATACGTCTTGTAAACAAGGTTACATGTGTGGGAAATAGTAAAATAAAAAAAAAACAATTTTCTATTTTAGCTATCTTATATATGAACAAGTGCATATAAGCTTCTATTATTAAAAAAATACTATTATGGCAATTTTATATATAAACGAGTGCATATAATATATTGCTTACATATTTCGGATACAGGATAACATTTACTCATCGCAGAAAATAAATTATCTTATTTGAAATAATTACTGCAAAATACAACACTAAAACGAAATTAAGTTTAGCATTTGTATTAACATGTAATGCAATGATAACTTAAAGAAAAATTGTGATATTGAGATAGTTTGTTTGAAGCTCGTTCAATAGATCTTGTGATTCTTGTGATGTACGCCTATATAAACTTTACTAATACTTTGATTATAGACTATATTATATGCTTTGACATTGTATTTGTTTAAGTTACTGTTATGGCAATCTAATATATTATACTACTTCATATAATATATTCCTTATATAATTCTTATATATTTCTGATACAGTATTAAAAATTCACTCAGTACAGAAAATACATTAGCAAAATTGAATTAATTACAGTAAAATATAACACTGTAGCAAAATTAAGTCTAACATTAGTATTACCATGTAATGCAATGATAACTTGAGGAAAATTGTGATATTGAGGTGGTTTGTTTAAGGCTTGCTCAACAGATCTTGAGGATTTTCTGACGTATATAAACTTCCTGACGTAGGTATGAACTGATTTAAAATTGCAAATTAAAATTACAAAATACTAAAAAACAAAGATCAAATTCACTATCAATTCGATCAATTTTTATTTTTATCGTATATCAGACTCCATGTTAAACCCTTGCATGTGACCGATGCATCGAACAGCGTATTAAATTCATCCGTGGCGCGCTAACCGGAACTAGTTCCGTGTTGGCGTTAAGGGGCACAAAATTCAATTAGGCGAAGAGAACGTTAGTGGATCAACGCAAAGTTAGATCGACTTGATGCACATTGCACATTGCACATTGCACATTGAACGGAGCGCAGTCCCATGAGTGAATAGCCAAAGCGTTGCGAGCCACACGGGTGTTTAACGATAATTGTGCCTCCGTCAAACAATATGATTCAATAAAATTCACACATCATGTGATTCGTTATAATAGATCGATTGAAAATTATTTCGTATGTATTGAAAGCACAATTGTAAAGAATGATAACAAAATAGATACTACTGAAGGTGTATATTTGGTCGAGGAGTTCAGGCGTTGAAATGTACTAGGATAGCAGGATACTGCTATCCTGCTAGGATATTGTTGAGAAGTTGGCAGACAGACAAAAGTATTTATTTCAATAATTGGGCATACATTGGGCATTGTTATTTTTAACACATATTTTTCTACCCTTGGGTACTTTATACAACATAATTGATTTGAATATATACAGTAAGTATTGATTGTGAATACAGCGAGATATGTGACAAATTGTGTGGCAAAAAGAAGGAAAGAAAACTTTTCCTCACAAAAAAAACACAAAGCAATATTTATAATAATAGTTAATTAAAAAAATAAAGAAGAAAAACAAAATAAAAGATTTATTCACTCTGTAGAAAAATCTGTGTCGAGCCAAGTATCATTTGCCGTTATGGGTCGATCAGTATATAGTTTGGCATGGCGTGATTGCCATACTAAATTACGTCCCTCGTAAACTGCCCGAGACCCGCGATGTTAGTATTAGGATGATCCTCACCTTTAGATAAAAATTTTCGGTGAGCTTTTTAGATAGTCGAGTATTGTCGGTACGTCAGTCTGTTTGTGTATATATTTTGAAGAGTAGTAATGTCTAGTCAGTGGGTCCCTTATTTTGTTAAGTACTAGTCGTAGTGTCTTATTTTGTGATGTCTGTAGTTTCCGTAAGTTAGTCTTAGTCGTCGCGTTCCATGCTGGAGCGGCGTATGTCAGTAACGGTCTTATTAGTATCAAGTAAAATGTCCGCTTGTTGTTCACGCTTAGCTGTTGTGGTTCAAGAGTTGTTAAGAGGTTTTAAAACAAGAATATTGAAAACTCTGTACAATTTTGATTTAATTAAATACATTTACTCTATTTATTGCATCTAATGATGTTTATACTCCATAATACATGGAACTTACCAATTATTTGTTGTTACTGTGTTTTTATGGATTAGTTTTATGTAGTTGCACTGAAAATGGGGTAAATTCTGCAATACTGCAAGATATATTGACATAATTTTCAACATAATCCTTTAATATTTAGAGAGATAATTGAATAAACTCTTTTTAGTATTAAAATTTATTTCATACTAAAATTTTACGGTCCTACGGCAAGTTGTTTAATTTTTAGAATTCATCAAAGTTTGAAAAAATATTATAGTCAAAATTTGTGTCAGATGTTGCTTTTGTGATGCGATAAGTAAAACATTGTCAATTCTTTGAAATTTGGAATAATAAACTACAATTTTAGAACTTACAAAAACGCATCTGTGCAATATAATACATTAACATTAAATACAGATAGTTTGAATGTGTTTGAAAAAATTCATTTGGTAAACGCAATGTTTAGATTTAATTAAAAGCAAAAACTTTATTTTTGAAATATACAGGTAAAATTTTTTCTAATTAACGAATTTTTTTTTTAAAGTAACTTAAATCTAAAATTTTTGGGTATATGAGTGAGAACTTTTTGTTCTATGTTCTATCACTTTAAAATAATGACATCATAATATATATATATATATATATATATATATATATATATATATATAACGCGCCATTAAGCGTAGAAAAAATGTTGCAGTCGATACGTGCGCTTCATGTTAGAATTCACATAACGGAACATCACGTAGTCAATAGGACCATTACAGATCTAATTCCCTATAGCCGATGTAGTTCTGGATAGGACTGGCATTATGGTTTACTGCGCCATTACGATGTCCCCAACGATGCTGAATTCTGAACACACTGCCGGGACAGGCTGCACGGCCGTACTTTGTAATGGACGGCATGACCGACATAACATATGATTGAATATTTACCAACTG